GAGGGAGCTCCTGAATATAAAGGAGTGACTCATGTGGTCTTTTTCTGTAACACGGTAGCTACTGTATTGTCTTCAGCTCTTCCTGGGAGCAGGGCAGGGATTTTGTCCTACACACACACACACACACACACACACACACACACACACAAAACATATAAGCAGACAGCAATAATTGGTTGGGTCAAATCTGAGTGCACAGCTGCAAAATCATATGTTGAACTAGACGGCACATCCTCCAGCAAGGCCAGCACCCTGTATTGCAATTTTATTGAATGTCAGTGAATCTACAGTGAAACGTTACGGGGTTGTGCCATTGCTTATGCTCCATGGCTCCACCAAGTTCCTGAAATTCAGCTTATTTCTTCTTTCTTATTGATAACATTAATGATCCACTGCTCAAGGAAAAAGGACCAAAATCAATGAAAAAAGAAAAGATAAGATTCCTTTTTTGTCTTAAATAAGACAACCCAGAATGCTAAGTGTGAACTGGCATTGCATTGAGAGTTCCTCCTCAAAAATATAGAGTGTAAAAATTGATAACCAAATACTAAGCTTAACGTAATAGTTATTTAGTTCCAGTTCACAACCGTTTTCTTAAGGCATTTAAGGTAATATTGCAGAAGAAAAAAACAAAACTATGATCTGTTAGCAAGAACATGGCAACGGTGGGCAGGAAGAACTCACTTTTAACAGGAAGAAATCTTCAGCACAACCTATGAGGGCTCTGAAATCAACGTCAAACATGGCAAACATGCACCATCTTGCATTGATTTATTTGTTCAAAAACAACAGGTCCTCAACATCCATTGATAAAAAATTACCAATTTTTCTGCTTCTGCCAATATTATGGTGCCAACTGAGATTATGGCTACTTTTACTTGAAACCAGGTTAACATGCTGATATTTTCACACGAGAACGGATGGAGAATGGTATCAGTGCATTTTTCACATTTTTACTTCAAGAATCAAGCAATTAATAATTTATATATAACACAAGAAGTGCTGCCAATTAGCTTTTGAATCATTGCAGTTGAAGAGCACTTTGTATCTTGGAAAACACAGTAAGTGACATGTAGGGGTGTCAAAAATAAGGCCCGGGGGCCAGAATCAGTCTGGCAAAGACTGAAATCTGGCCCACTGGTTTTGAAATATAAAAATAATTAAATAAAAGATAAACAATAACAACTAAAGAAGAAAAAAAGTCTAGATATTTCAGGTTTTTTTTTTTTTTTTTTTTATTTTTATTTTTTTACAATAAGTACACAGCGGGGCGAAAGAATGGGATGTTTTTTTGTGAATTAGCCTGGGCGGTGAGCTGCCGGAACCTTTTCTGTAATTTTATACATTTATTTATTTGTGTTGACAGATTTTTCGAATTTGCTAGAGCAGTATTTCTTTGTCATGAGTAAAAACTGAGACGCACCGTTGAAGTTGCACGTCTTTTTCTTATATCAAATAGGATTGAATGTGTAACGTCTAAAGTGGGCGGCATGTGGCCCATGATGTAAGTTCGACATTCCTGCCTTGCAGTTTGTAGAGGATGACATGACTGCACTCTTAAATCCTGTACTGAGACACTATACGAGATGTAAGAACCATAGATCTACTTGTTATTGACTTCGCCCTTGGTTTTAATTGTATTCAGCCACATCTTCTTGCACACAGCCTTTAATTTAATTTGAATATAGATTTTAGCACAGTGTTGGCTCACTGGCCTCTTAACAACCAGATCCTGTGGGTCTAGGCTATTGGAACCCTGTCAAGTCCTCCTCAATTGGATCCCCTCAGGGCTGTGTGTTTTTTTACCACTTCTATCTGGGTCTAATACTAATAAGTATTAGAACAACCCTAGATCGAGATGCATGTCGACAGCACTCTAATTGTAAGTCTTCTGCAAGATGTGGAGCAAGATTATGTCCCAGTCCTTGATGAGTCTGTTAGCCTGTGCGTTTTCCTAAGAAACATGGCTTCAACCAGAAGTGTTTGATTTCAAAGAAATTTGGGACATTTAACTGTATTTTCTTAAGTTTTAAAGCTTTTCCCTACTGACAAAGACCTCCCCTATGACCATTCATATACACAAAAATAATTAGGTTATAGATTTCTGTAATTTTACACATTTACTCCTTACAATTTAATCCGAAAGAGTCATGCTCACAGATTCCTTTAATTTACTACAGCAGCATTTCTTTATCATGTAGAAAAACTGAAACATATGGTTGAAATTGTGCTTCTTTATCTTATATTAAAATGATTCAGAGATTAAATGTGCAGTTTAGTGCTGTGCAATACTGTAAATTTTGTTATGCTCCAATGCCAAGTAAATAAAGGGCCAGTGTTTCAGACACCAGTACAAATTCTGATACTTTTAAGGCAGAATATTTCGGGGAAATCACAATTCAGTTGGCTACATACTGAACTTAGGGGATAGAAACAAAGTATCAGTCTAATACCAATACCAACATCAATGTTTGGATCAATCCGCCTCCCTCTAGTGCAGACATAAGATAAAAATGGGGTGTATGTGACCTGCGATGCAAAGGAGTTTAAGATTTCTGCGTTAGGATGAAGGTTTGGACTCCCCAGATGTAGCACATTTACATTCATGGTGACAGTTTGGGACACTGGACTTTTCTATAGTGTTTTGTGTATTGTATTGTATGCATGTATAAGACTACTTATGGGCCCATGAAAAACCATTGCCCAAGGACCCACAGGGCTATTTGTGTTTGGAAACTGTTGCTTAATTTTAATATGTCTAACACACCTTTTTTTCTCTCTCCTAGACTGCATGGTTTTGTCAACAATTCACCTTTTTGCTGCTTGGCACCTGAGATAAAAAATGTGTGTGGCCGTGCCAAGCTCTAGTTAAATATTGACCATCCCAAAAAACTGATGACTCATTTGGCTAATGGGGTTTAGCATAACCATTTCATTTTTTTCCTGCTGTAATGCCACTCTAAATCCCAAACGTCCATCAGTGAAAGAACAAGCTAATTGTTTTACAACCAGAGATAACGCGTTACTGTAATCCGATTACTTTTTTCAAGTAACGAGTAAAGTAACTATTGCAAAAACGGTAATTAGATTACCGTTACTTTCCCGTAGGAACGCTGCGTTACTGCGTTACTAAAACCGTGATTTTTTTGAGAGAATGTCTCACGACAGTGACGTAAGCGAGTGCGCCGTTAGTGACAACAGCTGTGTGCAGATCAACAATAGATCATATATCAGTGCGGGAGAGAGTATGAGCGTGCAGCGTTTAAAGCGTGGAAGTACTGACCTTACTTTGAGTTTGATTCCATAAAAAGTGACAAAAACATTAGCGTCCGTTGTGCGTGGGAAGAAAACTTCTTTTTACAGCGAAAAAAACCCCTAAACTTCCAAGCAAGCACCGAGTGCCCAACGACATAATGGGAAATTCACAGAGAAACTCGCGGATTCTTCAACTGACCGCTGCGGCACACCTGCACCAGGGTAAACCTCCGCCTGCCCTACTCCTGCTTTACAGGTGAAAATAGAGCAAAAGGACCGCTGAGTCTTTGACTTTATTTATTTTCTGCTGTGTTTTACTTGCATCTATTTGAAAGACTGAGTGTAAACACAAAAAATATTTTATTTTATGTGCTGGAATGTGCAGAAAATAGGTTTAAATATTAAACAAATTTCTTCCAGTCAGTGAATGTTGCATATAATTAAATTTTTGCTTGATGCATAAAGTTAAAAGATTAAAACTAATAAAACAAGTTTTAAAAAGAGACTTTTCCATTTGATTACATTTTGTATGATGGATTATGTAGAAAAAGTAGAATTGGGCTGAAAGATCTATCACTTTATCACCTACTCAGGTTGTAAATCGTGTTTTTAAAAAGTAACTAAGTAACTAAGTAATTAATTACTTTTGAAAATAAGTAATCAGTAAAGTAACGGGATTACTTTTTTGGGGAAGTAATCAGTAATTAGTTACTGATTACTTTTTTCAAGTAACTTGACCAACACTGTTTACAACACAGGCAACCTGAAGTCCCACATATATGCCTGCTTAACAGCTGTTGGACTTGTGCACTATACCCAAGAGGAGCTGCCTCAGTAGTATTGGACACAGGAGATACGAAGCCATGAATCTGAAAGTGTCTGCACAGAACAGCAAGTAGAGGAGGTTTGATCCAAATATTGATAGCATCGATACCAACGGTGGTGTTGGTATCGGATTGATAAAACCAGAATAGGATCGATACTTATCCTCTAAGTTGAGCAAGTAGCCCACTGAATTGCGTTGATTTTTTTTTTCATTCTTGGCAAATTAATATATATACCTCAAACTATGGAAAATGTCAGAACCGTTTTGTGTTGACTGTCTATTTTCTTTATAGCCTGTAGCACACTTAAAAAACAGAAGTTAACCCAGACAGACTAATTTACATTCCAGGTCTCCAATAAACCCAGGCTCAAAATACATGAAAAGCTGAAAGATGTGTTTTGATGTGTAAACTAATTATTGGAAAAGTGAAAATCACAGTGAGTTAGTAGTCATTGGAATTTGCAAATTGATGATTCAGCTCATAAGTCATGACACACTGCTCTCATCTGCCTTTAAAAGTTAAACGTATCAATATCGGTAATTGGTATCGGTATACTCGCCCCGCATCATACCAAAATTTGCAGTATGGCACAGCACTAACAGCTAACTGAAAGTCTGAATCGGTGCCAGAAGCAAGCTGGACCTTTAAGGCAGGAAATACACCCAAAACATTAGTGCAGTCTGATTTTGCATTAAAAACTTGGAGCCACAGCCTAAATAAGATGTGGAAGCCAAGTGATGTGCATAATACTGTAAAGCTTCCAGAATTACCCCGTAAAAAGACTGATTCCAGTCTCTCGTCCTTCCTTAAAATAATGACCAATCATTCATCAAGTATCTTTCATGTGCCGCATTATCAGCTATAAGAAATCTGTTTTCTAGCTTAACGAGATTGCTTTTGTGCTGCATAATTTGAAAGTGTGTGGATTTATTTTCTCTTTATTTTTTGTTTTAGTGTGGATTTTCCACAGAACCATGCCTTCTCCCGCTCCCAACATCACGTTACGAGAGAACGGGAGAGAGAGGCGGGAGGGAGAGCGAGAGAGGGTGCTGTTTACATTGTGAGCAGACCTCAGATTTACAGTCATCCAGCTGCACCGCGGAGACAACAGCTGCCTCTATTTAAAGGACAGTTTTTCCGTTTTGTTGTCATTTGCCAATTTAGGCTTTACGCACAGTCATGATTTTGACGCACAGGTGAACTTACCTCACCTCAACGCACCCCGATCAGAACTCAAAAAAGGAGAAAAGAAAAGTGTCCAGTTCACACTCTCCTCCTCCTCGTTTTTCCTTTTTTAATTTCTCGAAGTGGAGCAGGTCGTCAGAGTCATGTCCAGGAAGAAGACAGCGAAAGGCAAAGGCAGCTCCAAGAGCCCCAAGGCATCTCCGAGCAGCGGGAGGACGGGGAAAGGTTTGACCGCAGCTGCTGCTCCGTCCTCCGGGCTGGTCTATCCCAGCAGACCATCCATCAGCAACAGCGGAGAGTTTTATGACATCGCCTTCAAGGTGAGCACAAGCTTAGCGTAGGGTATTCGTCTTATAGAGACTTTACCTGAGAAGTGAAGCGAATTAGCATCAGCCAATTTTAAAAAGTCCCTCTTTAAAGGAAAAAAGTGTCTTATGTTCTTAGTTAAAAGTGTGCTTGTGTCCAGTAGAATGCATGACTCTACAGACAAATCACAGTGAATGTCTGCAGACATGAATCTAAAGATGATTAAAGATGATTCATTTGCCCTGAAAAGCAGGCTTTTTCTTAAAATAGTGGGCTTTCTACTTTGTTTCTACTTTTGTAGTTTTCAGGCATGGCTGTGTATGGAAGTTAGTTTCGGCCAAGAAATATAATTTCCTATTGTGTTCATTTTTATTTCAGAATTTTCTTTTAGTTTAGTTTCTCTGAGTTATCATCTCATCTCGTTTGACTGCTGGATAGTAGCTCTATATACATCATACACCTTGTCATCTATGTTTCAACAGGCTTCTTAAGCCACTCAAGGTGCTTTAAAGCAGAAAAACATATGTAACATATGCAAAAACTGTGTGCTGTGTGTTTATGCAAGAAAACAAATGTTGTTTTCAGTGTTGTGTTTTTGACAGTTTTTCCTCCTGTGCTTGAGATTTCCTCATGTTTACCTTCCAAACTGCTCGCACATGCATGAAATGCTGCTTAGTGCATCCGGTGTCTCCTTTCAAGCGCTGAACTTTAGAAACATTAAGTGTTGCTGCACACATGTTGTCCGGTGCAATAACATGGAAGAGCTGATGATGATGGAGAGAGGTTTCTATTATTAATGAGATAAATTAACTGCAGTGAAGGAGAGCAGCGGCGCTTTTTGTTTAACAGGAGTGGAGCTGACAGAATAAGTGCTACTGCCATCTCATGGTAAAGCTCAGGTTTGATATGTCCTGATAGCTGTGTCAGGAGGCAGATGCCATCAGGGATGAAGGACTGTTTTAGTTTCCCTTACAAAAAATGTAAACCCCCCCCCCCCCCCCCCCCCCCCCCAAAAAAAAAACAGCAACACCATCTTGGTGTTTTGAAACCAGATGTGAGGAGTGAAAAGGTGGATGTGATTGACTGGTGCTCATAGGAGGTGATTGTCAGTCACATGATACGGCATACTTTGCTTTAATGTCGTTCATGAACACTTATGGGCACACAAATTGACAAAACTAACATTAAGTTTCACTTGTTATAAGTAGAAACAAGCAGATGAGCTTATAAGCTTATCAGGAAACTCTTTACTGACGTCAGGAAACTCTTTTGCCATACACACTTCCGTGCACCCAGATGTTTTTTTGCAGGGTGTCGCCCACTGCTGGCTGTTAAAAAAATGCAGCTTTTGCATCCCTTCCTTCTTCCCTTTTCGCAAGCTACATCTACGCTGTGTGTGTGTGTGTGTGTGTGTGTGTAGCCCACTTTATGTGTCTAAAAGAATATTTTTGAGTTATAGCTTATAAATGAAAGACATTTTTTCATCATTTAAAAATCTAAATATCTTTTCTGTTTTACTATACTATATGCAATTCTAAATACACGGTTGTGCAAAAGTCTTGAGCCACTCGTCATTTGTTTATATTTTGGTAGGAAAATGGGAAATAGGTGCAGTAGTTTATTAAAATGTGCAAACTTAACACTTAAATAAATAAATGTAAATAAATGTAAGCCTGAAAGTCAATATTTCCATGACTGTTAGTGTTCCATTGTGTTTTTCTACTTTTAGTGTATTGACAGTGTACTTGGCATTACTGCTATGCTGAAAAATGAAGCATTTTCCAATTAGTAGGTCTTGCATGGTGGATCAGTATCAGACAGTACTTTTATCTGCATTTGTAATTCCATCAGTTTTGACAAGATTTCCAACACCACTGGCTGAGCCTCCATCATGTTTTAGTGGCTGTACTCACTTTTTTACCTCTCCTCTGACCTCCTCCATGCACTTTGATGACTTATTTTGTCAAACTGTCCTCAGAATGCATGGGGATGGTCAGAGGAGATCCTTCCATCTCTCTATAAGACTTACTGTAACCGATTTTCAGTCCAATTTTGTGTGTAATTTCACATAACCCAGCCTTTTCTTCCTGTTTCCCAGATACTGTTCAGCTACTGTAGGGTTTTAGGTGTTTTGGTTCTTCTTTTGTCCTCCACCCATTCAGCCAAGATATACTAAGATACACTTTCAGTTCTTTGGCAATCCTCTTGTTGGTGCTAAAATACTATTTGATATCTGTCAATCTGTGTTATCTTTAACATTTTCTATGGATTCAGCTAAAGACATTGAAATCAATTATGTGTTTTTTTGACAATTGGTTCTTTGCTTAATTATGTCTGTTATGTGTACACATAACACTGGTTCATCCCTTGAGTTAGGTACCTTTTTATGCATGAATGATTCATAGGTATATGTCAAGTGGCTTAACTTAAAAAAATATTAATCATATGGTATAAGACTGGAGTGAAGGTGAGTGAAAAAACAGCAAATGTTTAAAGAAAAGCTTGAAAAGCCATCAGAAAACTAGAGAACTATTACTAAAAACCTATTTTGCAAATCACAAGAACGTCTGGAGTCTTGGAAGCAAGTACTACGTGTGACAATCTGGAAGAGCCAGATCTGGATACTCACAAACATTTAATGTTTTTTACTTTTGTCAAAGCTCTAGATCTCCATCGCAAAATTTGACTTGGTGGTTTTTACTTTAGCTAACAGAAAGACAAAAAAAGACAAACTGCAATGATTCATAAATATGTATCTTGATGCTATACTTGTCGTTAAACCCCTTGAATTAGTCTGTAGTACAATCATATCTTGACTGTTTGAAGTAAATCTCTCTGTACCTCTGTCTTGGCTCTTGACTTGGCTGAGGAATAATCAATAATGACACAGCATTGACACAGAACATACATAATTGAAAGTATGAAATGGAGATGAAAAAGACTAATGATATTCTACATTGGGCATATGCAAATCTAAATTCTCATTATGTGGGTGGCAGCTGGTATTAATAATGCACCCTGATTAGCAACTGTTCCCATGGTAGACTGACCAAAATCACAGCTCCACTTTGACTTTATGTGGTACTCCCACTTGTAACAGTTCAGTGTACCAAATGTCACCTCTGAACACGACAAATCAAACTTAAATGAACACCAATATCAGAGTAGACCACTGAATTAGAGAAAAAATGTATATATATTTATATATAATGTGATATGTAAAACATAATAAAATAAGCAGTTTTATGTCCATTGGTCTGTACATGCTGCTTTTTCCCAGTGTAGTGTATTTGTTTATGTATTTTTTTATATACCTTAAACATCTTCACACACACGCACACACACGCGCGCAAGATTTAAAATTTTATGAACCAATACATTGTCACCTTCTGTCTCAGGTGATGCTCGTGGGGGACTCAGGCGTGGGAAAGACTTGTCTGCTGGTTCGCTTCAAAGATGGAGCCTTTTTGGCTGGGAGCTTCATCTCCACCGTGGGCATTGATTTCAGGGTAAGCATTAGCATATAGGCTACATTGTGTCTGCCCGTTGACGTCATTGCTTCTTCAGCCAAATTTACGTTTTGTCAAGTTACTGAGAAATTTTAAATTCTATCCAGCTGTGGCTGATGCTTCCATCCGAAGGAAATCTCTTCCCACCAATTTTCAAACTTAGTCTGTCTCTGAGAATTGTAGCTGTTTGCAGTGTGAGTTGTGCCAGAGATTTTTTTTATGGAGGACATATGGTTCCGAATCTTTGGGACATTTTTGAAATGCTAGAGATGTTCGCTGCCTCCAAAAAGTCGATCAGCAGTCGAAACAGGAAACATATTAGTGGAATTGTTTTGCACTAACACATGTATGTATCAGAAGTATAAAATATGATATGATGATTCATGTTAAATATCTTTAACATGAATCATCTTAAGTGCCAAAATTTGGGAAATAGCTAGTGTAGCCAAAGGCAAATAGCCTAGCAGCTAGCAATCTATTTGCAGCCAAGTGACAACAGTGTATTATAATGCGAGGAGAAACAGCAGGTCTACGTTGTAATTTTAGTTTGTTTGAACAGATAAATATTTAAAATCAAGTCAATGTGAAAATGTTGAAAATTCAGGGTACTGTAAACGGTGTAGGTGTCGGGGATACTACAGAAATGTCTTAAAAATCCTGAAATGAATGTTCTGCCCACAACCACCACAAAAGCCAGGCTAGCATAGCAATTGCTCATAACAGGACCTCCTAAAGTTGTGTGTAGCTGTGTAGCATATTGGGTTTTTTGAGGGTTTTTTTGTGTGGTATTGTGACATTCCTAAATAATATATTTATAAATAAAATATCATAACACAGATGTGGTGAGCTAGAGTTTATCATGATCCATAGAATGGAGATTCTTAGACCTATGTTTACTAGATTTTTCCTTTATACAAGCACTACTGAGATTTTACATTGAATATTAATAAAGAGGGAGGCTTACACAAAGCATGATAACAATGAGAAAGGCTACATTTCCTCATAATGTTAATTAATAACACCTTTATTAAAGTTTTCAATATCTGGCAAATAATATTTTGACAGCTTTAACACCAAGTTTACACTTGGTGTTAAAGTCTTTATTAAATCTTTATCAAATATAAATATTTAAATATTTAATAAAGATTTTCTGTCAAAAATTGTAGGTTTAAATCAGGACTGGGACTATTTTGCAGTGCCAGAGAGGAAACTTTATAGCTGCTTTCACACTTTCAGTAGTGCTCTCCTTGACGATTGAACCGGCCTTCATGTGCAAAATCAGTACCTCTTAAATTCTTCGCTTGGGAAGTGCACTGATTTTCAAGGACAGCAGCAGCAAGCGGGAGAGATTGAGAGCATATTATTGTCTGACTGCGAGTGAGTAGCAGCCGCTAGAAAAAAGGGTTCAGCTATAATGACTAGCCTTTAAACGTTTAAACCCTCTCTGTCCCCTAGGCGACACAATCCATTTAAACTGAATGGAACAAGATGAAAAAGTTTTAGTTAAACTAAGTTAATTTATTGATGGGTTATTTGCCCAATTTTTGCCCGTCGTGCCCTGGGGGAAATTACATAGGAGGCTTACATATAAAAAAGGAAAGAAAGAAAAAAATGGTCACACTTGAAGTGCCACAACTTGGGACTAGAAACAGTTATAGTAGAGGGTGTTTAATGGTAGAAAGTAGGAAAGCAGTGTTAATGCAGCATACCAGGGCATCTTTTGTTGTATATTCTTGGATACCACACAGGGGAAGCATTCTGTGTTGTCATTTTAGAGAACCATGCTGCTTATTGAGCATTCAACATATCAGTTGCTGTTTTACCAGGGCAGCCAGGGTCTCATGATACATATAAAAGAAGTAAAGGTATGATGTCGCAAGCAAAGGCTGCAAACTGTGAATTGGAACTGTGCTGAACACAACATTAGAGAGCACAACGCTGTTTCAGACTCAAGAAAAACAGAACAGCAAAAGAGGTAAAAATAGATAAAAGTGCTTTGTCTCCAGTCATTGGCCACAAAGACTGTGTAACAGAAAAAAGTGGTCATTATTACTTTGCAAGCAGACTATAGAGCTAAAAAAAAACCCTAAACTTTTACAGATTCTGGATCAAAAAACTCCTGTTATCCCAACCGAGCTTTGGCTGTTAGCGTGCTCTGTGTGTTTGTCCCCTCATTATCACTTCTATGACACGAAACCATCTTTCCTGGCAATTACAGTACAGGGGACAGTGTGAGCTGATTATTATGAAAAATACTATTTGTTATTTCAAAGATACATATTTAAGAGTTTATATATATACTTTACCTAAGTCTTTTTAGCATTTATAGAGATCCAGATGGATCTCATTAGCATTTATTTACTCATATACTGTAGGCAAAACAAGAACCATGAACCTGGAACATAGACAACATAACAGTAGCCAGTGTGATGTCACTTGTTTTGGACTATATTTTGAAGCTTCAACATTTTTCTTGGGCTTTTTTGCAGCCAGAAGTGAAAACATTTATGCTAAGTTGACGTGTTAAGGGATCAGTTAATGCTAACTAGCTTGGCTAGCAAGCTAATAAAACACTAGTATCTCGTTCATAAACCAAACATTTTGTGCGGTCTGTACCATGTAGCAAGCTTTAGCATAAGTCAGATTATCAATCTAAATGGTTTTAGAGCAGGTAAAAGGCGCACGCATACAGAATAGGTCCAATTTATTGAGTCCAGTTAGCAGAGGTGAGGCATAGCAGGCCTAGCCTCCACTGTCTGTATCGTAAATCTGTTAATCAAAGTGAAGTCCAGTATCCAGGTGGATGAGTTCACCCAACTCAGAGTTGTTCTGAAGGGGGAAGTATCCTGTGAAGCTAAATGCAATTCATACCATGGGCTTTGAAAGTCTACGGGTATTTAATCACTTTTAGAGCCAGCTTCAAGTGGTACTTAGACGTGATGTAGTTTTTGGTACTTGTGCTTAAGACCTTTACACACTGAGCGTGATTCTGATGCAGATGCAGTTTTGTCAGGTAACATAGATGGCCTGTATTTGTATAGCGCTTTACTAGTCCCTAAGGACCCCAAAGCGCTTTACACAACCAGTCATCCACCCGTTCACACATACATTCACACACTATAGACACACCAATAACATTGAAAAATTCATCCTAAAAAACACATGGAAAAGTCAACTTCAAGCAAAGACGAGCTGGACCTGATGAAAGAAATGGAGATTTTGAGTTCATCCAGTTCTTACAAGAAGGCAGTAGGACAGCAAATTTCATGATATGATCTGAGCATTCAAGCTGTATCACAATAACTCATACACGTTGGTGGCCAGCCATTAAGGGGCAAACTGATTATCGGTTTCTAGCCCAACAGCACTTTGGCATACGGAGGGGATCAAACACCCACACCTGCTTTTAGTGTACAATTTTTCCTATCACCTGATATGAGTCAGATTTCTCCCCTGACACAACAGAAAGAACCACACTTTCAAAAAAAAAAAAAAAAAATTAGAGCGATTTCTTTAACCTTTTTTAAATGCCTGTTTTACTTTTTGACAAAGGTGATAACTAAAAACCTTGCTCTAATGTTCAAGGTCTATAACTCACAAGCACTCCCACACATGCTGACATTACCGTTTACTCCTCATTAGTGCGTCTGCTCAGACGCTCATCTCTTCAGTCTCTGCCTCTGTATATATGTTTTTGAAGTCTTGAGCACTTTGTGACAGATTTCAGTTATTATTAGGAGCCTGAATATCTGGGCTAGACACTGAAAGAAGCACTCCTTTGACGGTCTTTTGAAATGCGCTCGTTTCGTCAGGCTACTTATATGGGATCATACGCTCATTAGACCTTAAAATAATCCATGTGTGATTAACACTTTAGTGTGACTGCTTTTGTAAATGTACAGTTTTATCATCAGGATGAACGTTTTAAACAGCAGAACCTACATTAAGTCTCTCTTTAGTAAGAAAATTTACTTTAAATTGATCAGAAACGTGGTCTGATTCCCTGTATGTTAGCTAGCCCTAGCTAAAAATGACCTTCGGAAGGTGTGTGTTGCTTCTCATTGAGTGTGTTGCTTCTTCTAAGAATATATCTACCTACATTAGTAGAGTTCATTTCCCTTTCAAAAGAAAATTGCAGGCACTTGCCATTAACATTTTGTCTTTACTTAACCCCTCTGCTGTAGATAATGTTATCAGCTTGTGCTGAACAGTAAATGATGGGCGCCGGAGCTTATCTGCAAGGACGCCTGGGTAATTTGGGTGTCTTTGTTCTCATAACTTCCCTGGTACCAGAGGGTAGTATCCTTAGAGCTCAGTGAAAATCTTTAATTGGCACTGTCAGTGATATTTGAGGATAAGTAATTAATATTTAGCAGCTTGCAGCCGACACAGTGCCGCACAGGTCACCTCGACTCTCACCCCACGCTTAATTAAAATGAATATTTTAAGTTAAATTGCTCATACTGGTAAGTTACTTGGGTGAGTTTTTAAAGATCTGTTAGATGTGAGGCAATAACAGATTTTATGAGCAGGTTAACAAAAACTTATCTCCTTTTTTTTTTTTTTTTATAATTTGTTGAAGTGTAAATATGATGTCAGAGTTGCCAGTTGTGCAGCCTGTGTGTCCATGCACCCATTAGGGCAGAAGCACTGAAACTGAAGTGCTGTAAATGTGCTGTCGTAAAGTTTAAAATGTGATATATTCCAGCACTGAGTGCGGCTGTGAGTGTTAGAAACCGGCACTATCGGCTCTGTCAGGAATGTGCAGCAATGTGACCTTTTTACATTTAAGATAATGAGGAATATGTCTCAGCACTGAGCAGGGGAAAAAAGTTTTTGGTACTTCTGCCTGCTTTTTTCTCTCCATCTATTTATATTTCACTTGACAGGAAGAAGTGATGAGTCAGAAATCAAACTTCAAATGCTGCTCGACCTCTCTCCTGTTCTATTTTTATTTGTTGTCTTTTCCTGGGAGAGGTTTGTTAGAATTTCTGACGAGA